TGCCGTCGACTAAAATTAGACATTTTAATGCGAACTTTCCATGAAAATTGAGAAAAGGCGAGAGTCGTCGACGCAAGATATCCGAAAAATATAATTGAGGAGATGGGAGCAAATTTTGTCGAGAAAACGAGGCGCAAGTTTTTGTTCACCACATCGGGATGAGCTGAATACTAATGAAGAATTGACTTTGATTTATCGCTAATAATGCGAACATTTTACCTTCACCATAAGTTTTCTCGAAAATTAAGAATGACTGTCTCCCTCTCTATGCCTCAATATTTCGACGAAAAGATAACAAGAATTTTCAAGTCCGAATATAGACAAGCTGCTTATGCAAATGAAATGTATTCGCCGAATTTTACGAAAGTGCTTGGTCAATTTCATAAATTTAGTTAGTTGTCACCTTTGGCAATTGGCTACCTATTTCTGAAGTCCCGTCACTCCGCTTTTTTTTTACCCCATTTCTTTTGTAACCCTCTGCTTTTCAGGGCGATTGAAATTATAAAAGACGTTGGCAGTTAGATCAAAAAACGGAGATATACTGTACTCTAGTTTTGAAAGTCAGTGTACGACTGACTAAACAAAAGCAACAAAAGCAATTTGAACCGGGTTCGAAAACAATCTCAAACATAGATCAAGCTAAATCTGTTTGCATTATAATTCAGTACGTCTAATATCAAAAAACAAAAACCTGGTAAAATTTTGAAGCTGCCAGAACTCATTTGATCGAAGAATCAATTATTAATTTCAAAAATTCCAGTTGATCCAATCCATCACAGGTTTTGATTCTAAGCTTTTTCAAAAATTAAAATTCGATTATATAGATTCAAGATTGGAAACTTGAACACGTTTTTACTCACAGTCTCATTCCTTACTAGATGTCTAAATAGACTAACTTTCCATACATTTTGAAAAAATATATTTCGTTTCCAGTGCTGTAGAAAAAAGTGCTGCTCTCTGTCACTGGTGGCTGTAAGTGTCTGCATTAATATTTACAAAACATTAACATACACGAAATGTCTGTAGGTTTAGCAGAGAACTTGAATCTTCCGTAACTCGATAAAATTGAAATGCTATACAAATTGTCAGGGGGATAATGCCCAAAATTTTCCCATAATTTCGTTTTATCACATCTCCCCTTGAAAAATATTTTAATATTTTGACATACATTTTATTCTGCTGAAGGCTCTTCGTTATATTCGCATATTGGTGTGCATCGCTTGAAAAAAACGTTTGAACTTATTCAAAAATGATGCCATCACAAAACGAATATATGAGGGTCTTTCAGGGAAATTACAAACATCGTTGCACAGAAGATATCAAAATGAAGAAAATTCGGAGAAAATCCTCAACTAATTTTCCAAAAACTCACCGGTTTGTCTCTCCGAGTTCACATCGCGGTTCTCGTAGCCCATTTCCACACCAGCTTCCAAAAACGCTGTGGCCACCGGAGTACGATATGGTGATTCAGTCACTGTCAAGTACCCACCAGTACTGTGATACTCATCTGAAAGAAACGTTTTTAAAAAGTTCAGATTTTTATGTGCGAAACAATCGTCAACCTGGAAAGGCACATCTCGTAGAAATTATTTGGGCTCATGATATTGCTCTTTTTTTACGGCTGTCAGTTCGCCAAAGCGAACAAGAACACTAAATTTTGTATTCATGAAAAAATCAGATTACTCTGACGAAATACAAGAGGAAAAATGACCGCAGGATATAAAAGCTGCTATAAACATCCATCGTAGGGTAAGAAAACTAATTTTTCGCTAGTTAACCTAGGGTTTCCTCTCGACGCCCCGTTATAGAAAAGACGGCGGCGAAAATCTTTACAAATTCGCTAGAGCAAAGAATCCGTCAATGTAAGCAGACTAAGGGAACGTCTCGCTGTCAAAAAGCATACACCAAAAAGCGAGCTGACGCATAAATTATTGTCGTAACGCCCGCAGTCGAATCCCCACTTGAAACAAGAGAAGACCACCTGGAAGTTGGGCGGGGGAAAAATATCACGTTCTTCAATTATAGAAGGAAAAGAAAAAATATAAAATTTCGAAAGCCCTTGTCAACAACGATGACATAAATCACACGGTAACCATGAAAGAAACTCCCGACGCGTGATGGATTCCCAAGGAAAAATAATAATAAAAGAAATTAGGCAGGAAATTCGGTTTCACGGAGCAAATTTTAGGTTCCCTGGACTCCGTATCGGTCCGAGGAAATTTACCTTCGCAGTGAGGGAGAAAATTGGCATGCGACTAGAAAATTGGTATCTCATCATCGAATACGTTTTTTCTCACTTACGATGATGAGATCGCATCAATTGAGGATGCCAATTAACTTTCGCGAGGGATATTGCTTATCCAGTCTTGCTATCTAGGTGTGAGTCGCGTCTACGAAAAAAAAAAATTCTACATCCGAGTGAAAAGTTCACGGGGCACGAAACCGATCCTGTACGAAATTTTTGATAAGGCTTGGGGTTATGTGTTGGGTACCTTGTCAATCTTTGTCTCGATGGGCGACAATTATGTAATCGTTTTTCAAATTTCCTACAGAGACATTCGTTTTTGAGGAGCTGTGGACTGCGGCGCAGGAATCTTTAAAAAATATACATTTTTTTCAATTTTCTGGTTCGAATCCTCTTTTAATTACGAGTTATTTGTCACCATCTGCATTTAAACTTAAATAAAGTTTTGCTACTTAAAACAGGACTTTTATTGAAGTGTCTGGCAAGGCAAATTCTGATTTTTGGTCGTCCGGGTATTTTCATATTTGGAAGTACCTAAGTACTACACAAAATACGAAATTTTATAAGTCTTTCTCAATTTTTAAAGCGCCATTATTTTCTTATCGATGCTGTTTTCATCAATTAATAAACTTTATCCACTGATCACTTCAAAGGCTTGAATATTATTACAACTTATGCATTTGGGAAGAGAAATTAAGCCGCGACCAATTTTTTATCTGTTGCTCTCGAATGTATTTGAGATTGATGACCTACACAGCTATTAATCAGCTATCAATTCCAGAATTAAACGTCCGTTTCGTAAAAAAGACAAGAAGTAAGACCAGAAAAATTACAGATTAATACTGTGAATTCTTAATTTTCAGAGCCACTGCAGGGAAGAAAAAAAGTCGATTGAAGCTCCTTCAATTATCTATCTTAACGAGTATCAATTTCACGACTGTTCGTTCTGTTTTATGAGGAATAAAGTAAAAAATATATATATTACGTATGAAAAAGTGCCACCTTCCGTTTGTGCTTTGAATATTGATACAATTAGTATTCTTTATTCCCGTTTAAATCCTGAATTATTCTAATTCGGTAGAAGCATTTATATTGGCTTTCCGTACATTAGGGCTAATTGGATTTCCTCCTCCATTTCCCACTTAAAACTCTGTTTAATCTCTTCAGAAAACAAATCCCATCAAACAGGCTTCACATTCTTTCGCCATCGGAATTTAAAATTCTTTCTATTTCGATCTGGAAAAAGTCACGAATAGCTCATTCAGCTCTGAAGCCCATAATGCAATTTCACGGTTGCATATAATAAACCATTCGCTTTATCTCCTCCGACTCGTCTCGTTGGCAATCACTCTCGTACAACCCGAGAAGAGAGGAAACCCCAAAAAAAAGAAGTTTGAAGTCGTGTATATGCAAACGAACCCGGCTCAGCGTTCATAGGGATTGATTACCTCCTAGATCCACGGCAAGCTGGTGTTTCCTTCTAGCGTTATCAGAAATGTAGCGCTGTAAATTACGAGTTATTTGTCACCATCTGCATTTAAACTTAAATAAAGTTTTGCTACTTAAAACAGGACTTTTATTGAAGTGTCTGGCAAGGCAAATTCTGATTTTTGGTCGTCCGGGTATTTTCATATTGGGAAGTACTTAAGTACTACACAAAATACGAAATTTTATAAGTCTTTCTCATTTTTTAAAAGGCCATTAATTTTCTTATCGATGCTGTTTTCATCAATTAATAAACTTTATGCACTGATTACTTCAAAGGCTTGAATATTATTACAATGTATGCATTTGGGAAGAGAAATTAAGACGTGAACAATTTTTTTTCTTTTGCTCTCGAATGTATTTGAGATTGATGATCTACACAGCTATTAATCAGCTATCAATTCCGGAATGAAACGTCCGTTTCGTAAAAAAAGAGAAGAAGTAAGGGTAAGACCAGGAATATTACAGATTTTAGGCATTAATACTGTGAATTCTTCATTTTCAGAGCCACTCAGGGAAGAAAATGGTCGATTGAAGCACCTTCAATTATCTATCTTAACGAGTATCAATTTCACGACTGTTCATTAAGTTTTATGAGGAATAAAATTAAAAAAAAAATATTACGTATGAAAAAGTGCCACCTTCCGTTTGTGCTTAGAATATTGACACATTTAGTATTCTTTATTTCCGTTTAAATCCTGAATTATTCTAATTCGGTAGAAGTATTTATATTGGCTTTCCGTACAACTCAGGGCTAACTGGATTTACTCCACCATTTTCCACTTAAAACCCTGTTTAATCTCGTCAGAAAACAAATCCCATCAAACAGGCTTCTCATTCTTTCGCCATCGGCATTTAAAATTCTTTCTATTTCGATCTGGAAAAAGTCACGAATAGCTCATTCAGCTCTGAAGCCCATAATGCAATTTCACGGTTGCATATAATAAACCATTCGCTCTATCTCCTCCGACTCGTCTCGTTGGCAATCACTCTCGTACAACCCGAGAAGAGAGGAAACCCCAAAAAAAAAGAAGTTTGAAGTCGTGTATATGCAAACGAACCCGGCTCAGCGTTCATAGGGATTGATTACCTCCTAGATCCACGGCAAGCTGGTGTTTCCTTCTAGCGTTATCAGAAATGTAGCGCTGTCAGATTATTCTACCTTCCGAAAGAACGTTTCTCTGCCTCTATTTAAGAGTCACGCTTTCGCCCGATTCGATTTTCAACTGCCGCTCAAATGCCAGAAAAGAATATCACGTAACAAGTCGTGGAGGAAAATTGCCTCTCTAAGTAACGGCAAATTCTTTAAAAGCATTCCAGGAGACTTCAAAATTTCATTATTATTTTTTTAAAGGCGGAAGTGCACGGATTTTTATTCTAAAAGCCTGCTATGGATGTCAGTGCTGTTGTACAGTACTCCCCTACGAAAAGTGGCCTCGCAATAAAGAACTCTCAGTTGGATGATGATACCGTCGTTCAAGTGAAATACGCGTGGAAGCAAATTTATCATCTGCTGTTTAGGACTGATTTGTGTCATTGTGTGGAGTTGTCATATTTATTCAACACGTCATGTTTTCATGAGTACATTGCGAGATGTATTCTGATTAACACTTATCTAACTTTGATGGCGACCGGTGAACAGTATAAACTGAATATTTCTCGACTAACCCAGTCGTCAACCTAGCGGAACCCGGACACGACCCTCGCTGTCGTCTCCCGGAACCTGTATATGATTACATGTTTCCAACCACTTCCGAGGAGTAGCTTACGCTTAGATTAATGAAAAAAACAGGATCCAAGTATACATTCAGCATTTCAGAGAATAAAAATGTGACCAGAGTTAGTCACCATCACTAGACCACAAAGTGGGGACGATAAAACTTGATCTCGAAAACCCATGCCTAAAAAATTGACTATACTATACAGATCAGGGACCAAACTGATAAGGTACTTATCATATTGAAGGCGAGTGCATGATTCATTTCCATACATTAGTGCATAAAATAAACTATTTTTCTTCTAGTCTAGAATAGCTTATCAGGTTCTCTGAATTGACGCCGGACAAAAATTTAAATTCGAAACAGAGGATGAATTTAAAGTTCATCGACGAGAAATCATTACCCAGCACATTTTCAAAGTAAAAATTTCAGTCCAACAATTATTTAGTTCTTTTTTTTGAAAACTCAACAAATATCAGGAACAAAATGGGCCTTTAGAACACGAATGCGACAAAATGAGACTTCAGTTTTCATGAGAATTACGTTGAAACTTGTATCAACGCGGCAACTTTCTTGATTGACTGAAATTAAAAGTACTGGTCATTTAATGTTATAAGTACTGTACTGTGATTATTTTCGGACACTGCTCTGAATATGCATAAGACTTAGCCCAAAAAATAACTTTCTTTCTTGCCCATGCATTGATTTATCTACCTTGTGTCCGAGCAATAAATCCCTTGATTGATTTAAATCCGCCCATTTATTTTTCCAATGCTAAGTATTCAATTTAGATTACAAGATTACGGATCGCTTTAATTCCTACGCTCAGGAACAGCCAACACGAAAAACGTAATCGTAAATCATGCGTTCATTGATCTGTTCGTCTGAAAATAATTCTAAGCTTCTTCGAAAAGAAAGCACAAGTCAATTTCGGGGGAATTATTCAAGAAGATTTTAATCGACATGGAAAACCAGGATTAGACAAAAGGATTTCACGGCTTCAACGAGGATTGGATCGCGAGGGCTTTTTCACGTGATCCCGGCATTTATCGAGACACATTCCGAGGAAAGTAGATGCATTTATATATTTTTTTTCCTATACACAGTATCATAAAGACTGAATGATTGCGTGGCCGCAACCCCACAGCAGCGACGTGCGGAAGACGAATGGGACATAAATCACTGGAACTTCTTATACGGAGCCCAGGAAACGAAACCCGTCAGGCACGGAGAAAGGCGGCAGA